CCTGGAGGTAGCAGGGATACAATATTTTTGTTGTTTTCTGGAGCAATAGCACAGCGGATAGGGCGGAGAGGGCGTTTGCCTTGCACGAGGCCAACCTGGGTTCGATTCCTCTGCCCCTCTTGTAAAGCCCGGCAAGCTACCGGCAGTATCCTGTCCTCACGGCAAAGCCTGGCAAGCTACCCATGGTGTATTCTATATGCTAAAAACAGTAACAACAAGTCTCACAATTTGTTGTGAGATGTTAGTGGTGCCTGCTCGAGCAAATCAACGAACAACGGGAGGACAGTGCAGTGACAGTGCTACGTCCAGCACTGCCCCTCCTACTCCTAGGGACAAAAGCTCAGTGCAGGAACCCGGATGGGACACACAGACCCTGCAAGGCAGGCACAAGGCACTGAATCTGCGCCTCCACAGCCAAACCACCAGCAAAATGCAGAAACTACGTCCAGAGATGCCTCTGAGTGAGTTTGTCACAGTCACAGCAGCGATTCTGACTTGAGTCTTGGGCAGCAGGGAAGCACAGACAGACAGGACGCTGGCCCTGTCAGAGGACACTGCTGAGACACACGCCGCCTTGACACACTTGCCTTGCATGTGGAATGCTCTAGGTCTGATTCCCAGCACTGCATAGCCCCCCACCTCTCACACACACACACACACACACACACACACACAGACACACACACACAGACACACACACACCAAATGCTTCATTAGCACCAAAACCAGACTCACAAGGCTCTGGGAGCCTCCACTTTTTTTTTTTTTTTTTTTTTTTTTTTTTTGCTTTTTGGGTCACACCTGGCGATGCACAGGGGTTACTCCTGGCTCTTCACTCAGGAATTACTCCTGGTGGTGCTCGAGGGATCATATGGAATGCTGGGAATTGAACCCGGGTCGGCCGTGTGCAAGGCAGACGCCCTACCTGCTGTGCTATTGCTCCAGCCCCTGGGAGCCTCCACTTTCTAGGCCTTTTGGGAAAAGGCGCAGAAGCATGAAGGGGACCCCAGCGACTTGGACTGGCCACAAGGGGTGGGAGGGGGTAAGGGATTCTCAAGCTGGACGGTGCTTGCTTGGTTTATATTACTGAGGACACCAAAAAGTGACTTCTACTGATTAGATAATAATGGAGAAAAAAAAATCCAATCTACTAAGAAGACAGATTAGGTTGAGTTCTGGAATCTTCTCTCTGGAGCCTGTGGCTAGGCAGAAAAACTCCAAACCAGCTCCAGCTTGTCTGGGCTCAGCCTTTCCCTCCCTCACACACCCCTGCGCAGCTCCACCCACACCCTAAAACCAGCCTAGCCAGATTCTGGGGGAGAAACTCAGTTCCTGCCTCACCAGCAGAGCCAGGGAGTATGCGCCAGGGATGCAGCCACCTCGTATCTCCTCTGTCCAAATATCCCTGGCCCCTATCCCTAGTCTCAGCCCCCTTCCTTTCTGGCCAACAGAACAACACAACACTTTTCTGGAATTTTCCCTCTGGCAGAGCTAGAAGCAGCTAGAAGCAGCTCCAGGCAGCTCCGAGGACCCCAGCTTGTGACTGTAACACCTCAGCCACTGGAGGAATGTGGGGACAGAGCTGGGTGCCATCAGACACCACGTAGTCACCCATGGCTTGAGCTGAGTGGCCAGGCTGCACGCCCATAGCCAGGAGACCCATGTGCCACATGGCCAGCAGAAGCCTTCCCCTCCATGGGCCCTTGGGGTGCGGGTGGGACATGGCACTCAGGTGGTTCACATGGGCAGCCTTCGGAGTGGAATTCCAGGATGTTCTGACTCTGAAGGAACACGCATGGACTCGTGGCAGGTTACATCAAGTTGTGGCACTTTGGCCATACGCTCCCTTCTCCGGACAATACCTCAGGGTGCACAGCACCACTTTTACCCTGAGCCTTGGGGGCGGGGACAAGGAACAAGACCTAGGGACATGCATTCTCCAGGTCTGGGGCCAGACAGAGAGCTCAGGGCTCAGGGTTCGATCCCCAGCACCTCCTAGTCCCTGTCTGCTCTGTCCTGTGTGACCATGGTAGCCCTGAGCCAGTTCCAGGCACCCAATCTCCCCGGTACTACCCAGAGAGGTCACCTCCCACCCCCACCTGTACCCTGAGGCCTGCAGACAGCAGCAGAAACAGAAGTCTCAGGTCTCAAAAATGCGGTTTTAATGGACTGGAGCCAGGGGTCAGCAGTATGGGGGCGGGGGGGAGGGGAGTAAAGCATCCTGCTTTGGGTCCCTTTCCTGGGAGATGGGGCCTCCCTGGAGCATAAACTCCAGAAGTTTCCAGAACTCAACCTGGATTACTCAGTACCAGGCACTGACTCAGTGGGGCACCACCCACTGCAGTGTGAATCAGGGATTTCCCTACAGGTCATCCCACTTCCACGGGTGCCAATGACACACCTTTGAGATCCTCACAGTTCAGCGGCCATTGCAGGCTCAGGGCCCGGGTGGAGGCCGGCTCTGAAGGGAGGAAAGTGGGGGCAGCGAGAGAGGGTTATCAGGGGCCACCCTGCCTTACTTGGCCCGAAACAGCAAGGGGATGGCAGCTTCATGAGCATTGACAGACGTTCCCGTCGCCGCCCACCCTGCTACGTGCATCAAGCATTTTCCCCAGGGTCTGGCACAGCTAATGGGTATGTGACGTGTGAGAACTGTGGCCCCATGTGTACAGTCTCATTATTATTATATTTTTTTTATTTGCTTGAGGGCCATACTGGGCAGTGCTCAGGGCTTACCTCCTGGCTGTGCTCAGGGGTCACTCTTGGTGGGGCTCAGGAGACCCTATATGGTGCTGGGAATTGAACCAGGGTGGGCCACGTGCAGGCCAGAGTCCTTCCTGCCGCACTGTCCCTCTGACTCTCCATGTGTGTACAGTTTGATTTTAATTTTTGGAGTTTGTTTTTGGGCCACACCTGGCAGTGCTCAGGTATGGCAGGTAGACAGAGAAAGGCCCTTGGCAATAAAACTTAGATCAACAAAACTTCTGGGAGGAAAATCCTAAGACTGAGCCACCCTGTAGATACAGAAAACAGACCTGGTAAGCTCTTTAACAGACCCTGAGGAGGTTGGACCCCTCCCCATGAAGTTCCTCAAACCCTCGGACCTCTCCCTTAATCTGATTAAAATGTGATCCAGCCCTGAGAAGACTTCAGAACTTCTGGATCAAGACAACCCGAGAAGAGCCTATAAAAGACACCTTGAAAAAAAAAAAAAGACACCTTGAATAAAGGAAGGGCATGGATATGCTGCCCGAGCCGTGTGCTGCTTGCCCCAGCATGGCCGAGCACATGTCCCCGAGCACGTGTTGCCCGCATCTCCCCTCTTGAGATGTGTACTTTCATGTCTAATGCTGGGATGTGTCTAGGGACTCTCTCTGCCCTTTGTTCTCTCTTGAGCGCATTATTCTCTCTTTCTCTCCACACCTTCAAAAACCCTCCAAATAAAATCTATTTGCTTCACTGCTTGTCTGCTCTTGAAATTCCTTTCTGCTAGCAGGGTGAGAACCCAAGAACCCTGGGTCCCCGGTGACAGGCGGATTGGGAAAAAGTAACTGTCTTCTCCCGCTTCACATGAGCTACCCGTGGGCACACCGACATCATTGGGTCTGCACTCTGTGTGTAAGGCAAATGCCCTTACCTGCTGTTCTATCTCTCCAGCCCCCAGTTTTGGATTTGGGGATCATTCCAGCTCGGGGGGAATCCTATGCGCTGCTGGGTATGGGAACTGGGTCAGCAGCAGACAAGGCCAGAGCCTTCACCCCCTGCCATCTCTCCCGCCCCCAAGGGGTTCCAACGGGCACAACAGGGGAACTTAACATTGAGGATTTAAATAACAGCTATCCAAAATGTGTACCCAAACTAAAAAACCTTGTTTAGGTGTTTATTTTTTCCTCCTTCCTTTCCTCCCATCTCTGTGTCCTGCGGCTCCATCCACAGTCATTTCCCTCATCTTTGACGAGGAACATTCCAAGGGGTCACTTGGCACACCTGACGGTCCCCTCCCCGACCCGCTCAGGGAGGCGAGCAAGGTGGGCCGCGGGGGTTTGCATCAGGGACAGCGAAACAGGGCGCGGTCTCTAGGTGCACGCTGGGGAGTCCCGTGGGGGGCTTTTCCCACCCCGTTACCCCTTTTTTCCCCTCCCATTCGTGACGGTTGGGGGTCCCCTCGCCCGCGAGGCCCCTCCATCCAAGGTCCCCTCCCCCTAGCCCGGACCCCTAACCCTCTACCGTACCTTTTGGGGTACCCCCCGGACCGCCCACCGGGGGATTCACCCCGTAGCACCAGCCGCCAAGTGGATGCTGCCCTCCCTGTCACTCAACTTCTTGCTCCCGCCCCTCGCTTTGCAGTAACCGTCGCTTCCCTCGGTTTCCACAGCGACGCCAAGGGGCGGGGCCCGTGGCGCGCAGCGCCGAGACTCTTTCTGATTGGTGGGCAGACCCCGACCCCCCCTTCCTTCTCACTCTTCCTGCTTTTTGCCCGCCTACGGCCCTTCCCACTCTGTGGGGCTCGCAAACTGATTGGCCAATCTCGTGGCGAGACTGGCTAGTCCTCGCTCAGACCGGTCGGCAGGGTACGGGGGCGAAGGGGGGTCCCGCTCGCTGATTGGCTGGCGGGGCGCGCGCGGCCCGAAGGGGCGGAGCCGACGCGGGGCCTTGGTTAGTCTCGCGCGGCAGCGGCGAGCGGCTGAGGGATCTTGTGGCGAGTAGTGCGCGGGCAGTGGACAGTAGCATCCGAAACAGCCACAGCAGCAACCGCCGCCCGGTGAGGAATCATGAAGCACTATGAGGTAATAAGCAAAAACTGGAACCGAAAAGCTGCCGCGGCCCCCGGTTTCCCTTGGCGGGAGGACAGGACCCCCGCTGTCTCATCCTGTGCCCCGGAGCGCGCGGTCAGGGCGCAGGCGCAGCGGGCGCGCACGGGTTCGTCGGGCCACTGGTCGGGCGCAGTGCGCATGTGCACGGGAGTATTTATAATTCTGCAACCCAGGCTGTTTTGGGGCTGTCTTCGTTTTATTTATTTATTGTTTGTTTGTTTGTTTGCCCTTTTTGGATCACACCCGGCGATACATAGGGGTTACTCCTGATTCATGCACACAGGAATTACTCATGGCAGTGCTCGGGGATGGTATATGGGATGCTAGGAATCGAACCCAGGTCGGCTGCGTGCAAGGCAAATGCCCTACCCGCTGTGCTATCGCTCCAGCCCGGGGGGCCGGTGGGGGGTGGCTGTCTTCGTTTGGGGTCTCTGCAGGACTCGAAGCCCGCGAGCCGCCTGCAGTTTCCCCAGCGGGCTGAGTTGTCGGCTTGGCAGGGGCGGAGAGGGTCGGACTCTTGCTCTCCATCCCAGAAGGTCTTGCATCACGCCACCTCCTACTCGGCTTAGGTAGGGGCTTTGCATCAGCTCAGCGGCTCTTTTGCACGACCTTTGGACCCCTTCTCCCACTCGGGAAGTTCTTGAGAGCAGCAGCTTAGGCTGCGAGGGAGGTGCACCTCTCACCAAGCCACAAAGCTGATCTACGGAGAGATGGTAATTAACTGATAATTATGGATGGCGTTTGATCACAGATAAACGAAGTTTCATAACCCAGAAGCGCAACAAAAGTCCGGAGGCAGCTCTGGACCTGAAGCACCAGCACGGCAACACTGGGAAGGAAGGGGCTGAATAAACCATTGTCTCAGAACCATCCCCTCCTAAAGGGGAAGAAAAAAAAAAGGAGTTCAGAGAGCACCTGGCCCTGTGCAGTGAGTTTGTTCTGTCTGCAGAAGCTTGTGATTTTTTTTTTGCAGAGGAGGAAGCATTGTTAGGCTTAGGGAATGAACAATTCCCAAGTTTACTCTTTGCTTTGATCTCTCCCTGTTCTGGAAACTGAGCACAGCACATAAAGTTTACTGTTGTTTTTCCCTTTTTGTTATTTGGACTTTGCCCAGTAATGCTTGGTGGATATGGTGTTACTCCCAGCTCAGTGCTCAGGGAAGCACCCTCAGGTGGTACTGAGACCATGTGGTCAGGGGAATTGAATCTGGGCATGCTGCGGCCCTGGCAGCCATCCACTAGCCCTGAATTTACCTATCCTTTTCCTTTTACCTTTTTTTTTTTTTTTTTTTTTTTTCATTTTTTGGTTACATTCAGCCATGCCCACTCTGCTGGAGGCAGAGAGGGTCCTGTACATGCTGATAGGGGCTTTTCCCTTTGAGATGGCTCCCTGCCCCGCTGCAGTGGTGGCCTCTGTCCTGACACTTCTCACTATCTCTCAGGCCCCTGCTCCTGGGGCACTTGGTGTTGTGCAATCATTTCCACAACTCCCTCATCTTGTGCAACATTCCCACAATTCACTCATTTCCACTTGGCCCACGAAACGCCAACTCCCTGTGCCACTCTGCCCAGGCAGCATGCAGCCTACTTTCCCTCAGAAACAGACCCTGTGGTGCCTTGGTAGGTGGATGGAGAGAGCCTCTATTTAATTCCCCAGCGTGCAGCCTCTGCTTCAGTTCACAGTGCTCTCTCTCTCTCTCTCTCTCTCTCTCTCTCTCTCTCACACACACACACACACACACACACCCCTGTCCTCTTCTTACTATTCTTTTTTTTTTTTTCCTTGGCCTTTTGGGTCACACTGGCGATGCACGGGTTACTCCTGGCTCATGCACTCAGGAATTACCCCTGGCGGTGCTTGGGGGACCATATGGGATGCTGGGAATCGAACCCGGGTCGGTTGCGTGCAAGGCAAACGCCCTACCCGCTGTGCTATCACTCCAGCCCCGCTTCTTACCATTCTTGGTCCTATTTGGGGGACGATGCTCAGGGTTTACTCCTGGCTCTGCACACAGAGATGACGCCTGGCGGGGCTCAGAGGACCCTATGGGGTGCTGGGGATGGAACTTGCATCAGCAAGTGCCTTACCCACTGTACTGTTTCTCTGGCCCATTTTTTGTAATTTAAGCAAAATCTTTGGAATCCATTGATCTAGAATTCCTCATTTCTTTACTTTTGCTGTTTGGGTCTGTGGTGCCAGCTCAGTGCTAAGAGGTTGCCCCTGACAGTGCTTGGGGATCGGACCTGAGGCTCCAGCATGCGAAGCCTGTGTTCGGCCCCCTGCCCACTCAGTCATCTTTATTTATTTTATTTTATTTTGCTTTTTCGGTCACACCCGGCAGTGCACTCAGGAATTACTCCTGGTGGTGCTTGGGGGACCTATGGGATGCTGGGAATCGAACCCGGGTCGGCTGTGTGCAAGGCAAACGCCCTGCCCACTGTGCTATGGCTCCAGCCCCCTCAGTCATCTTTAACTTGATGCTAGGAACATGGAGGCAGATGCTGTGATCACTGAATAATGAATGACTTGAGGTTGGGTGGGGGGACACTGGGCCACCCCCAGCAATGCTGGGGGTGGCGTGGGGGCTACTCTTGGCTCTGCACTCAGCAATGCAGGAAGGACCCCCCTGGTGGTGCTTGGGGACCATAATGCAGTGCCAGGGATTGACCTGGGGTCCACCGCATTCTAGGCAAGTATTCCCTCTTCTGTACTGCCCAGAATAAAGGTCTCTAACGTTTCCCCTCTGAGCCCTCCAGCCCTGAACAAGAAACCCTACGAGGCGTCCTGGAGCAGCCGTGCGACCTTTTGCCAAGGTGTGGGTGTCTGCTCGCTTGCACACAGGCTCTGAGGCCTCCAGACCACAGTCGGGTAGCAGTTTAGAGGAGAGACCCTGGCCTCCTTGTCTCCCCGGCCCTTGCAGGTGCCCCCTTCCCCCACTGCCCGGTGCCAACCTTGAAAGGCCGCAGAATTGCTCTCACACCTGTTGGAGCCCGGGCAAAGGTCTCCGCTCCCATCCAAGGGTGTACTTGGGACCGAGTGCAGCCACTTCCCCAAATGACCCCCCCAGTACACAGAGCTTCAACCATGTACCCAAGAGACTGGGAGCAACCCCGAGATTCTGCAGGACACTTGACAAACACTGAAGTGACAGTTCTCCTGGGGCACTGGTGCTGTTTGAGTCAGTCTGCCAGATGCCCAGAGAAAACAGCAGTCCCGCACCTGACCGGTCTTGTGTTTTTCGTTTTTTTTGGGGGGGGGGTCACACCGAGCTATGCACAGGGGTTACTCCTGGTTCATGCACTCAGGAATTACTCCTGGCCATGCTTGGGGGACCATATGGGATTCTGGGAATCGAACCCGGGTCGGCTGCGTGCAAGGCAAACGCCCTACCCGCTGTGCTATCACAAGACCTCTCTGTACTCGCTGTTCTATCACAAGGCCTTGCGTTCTTGCTTCAGCGTTTCAACCCTGAACACAGTGGGTGAAAGTTCTGGTAGATTGTGGTCAGTGGCACCTGTCCAGAGTCACCACGCAGCCGAGCACGAAGGTGACAGGTGTGGCCCAGTCACGAGATGGGGCCTCACTCCACCTAACCTGGGAGGCTTTCTGTCCCCTGGGCTCTGGACTGATGCAGGTGGGCGGTTCTGTGGGTGGGAGTGTCCCGATTGGGAGAGCACATCCGGACCCTCCGCTGCCTGCTCATAAGGTGTCGGGTCTGGATGTGAGGACCAGACTGTCCTGGCCCTACACCGCCCCTGCTGCTAGGACAGGCTCGGGCAGGGACAGATGGCACAGCACATCACTGGCGAGATGGGCCGCAGGGCTAGTGGGCACTTTGTCCTTGCAGGCGCCCTGGGTGGCGAGGGGGCAGAGGGAGGTTTGTGGCTCCAAGGCCACAGCGAGAATGGCGCGGCCGACTCCCTCCCCGTGGTTATCTGCCCCTGCATGGGGTTAGAGGGAGGCTGAGGCCCGGCTCCTGGATCAAGGTCGGGCGGGCAGGTCAGGTCTGATGGGACAGGGCCCGCACCCGGAGCGGGATGAGAGCGTTTGGGCTCCTGAGGGGGCCTTCCCTGCCCAACTTCTGTTGTCCACTGGGCCTGAGTGAGTGCTAGAATCTTCCGCTTTGATCAGCGTCCTGCAGAGAGGCTTGGCAGCCTTGACCCTTTGCTCTGGGGGCCACACCCCTTGGGGCTCTAGGACTGCTGCGGGGGAGTGGGGGGTCGGTTCCAGCAATGCTGGGGAGTGAGGCAGGGTTTCTGAGTGCAAAGCCACCCGTGCGGCTGTGACCAGGCTTTTCCCCCTTCCCGGCCATACGTTACATGGGGACCCATACAGAACTGGATTGTGGTTTTGATGAGCACTTGAAGATGAGGGGACCCCTAGGGAAGCTGCAGCATTTAAGGAGTCTGTCGGGCTGCGGCAGAGATGGAGGTGGCCTTAAGGAGGTCGGTAATGGGGTCGGAGCACTAGTCCAGCAGGTAGAGCGCTTGCCTTGCACGTGGCTGACCCAGGTTCAATCCCCGGCACCCCTTGGGATCCCCTGAGCATTGCCAGGTGTGACCCAAAAAGGATAAAAAAAAGTGGTCGGTGGTGACGCCAGATGCCAGCGGGGCCGTGGGAGCCAGCATGGTCAGTGCTCCTCACTCCTGTTCTGCGGACCCTCTGGCCACTGACCCAGGCTGCTGCATTTCGGGGTGCCCCTGTGATGGGCTTCCCCCGTGCTGACCCATTTGCTCCTTCCAAACTCCTGGTTTCTCTGCCTCCACTCCTGGGGTCCGTAGCCCCTCGAGGACTCGGCCTGGACTGGGTGTCATGCCAGCATGATGAAAGACCCTTGGTATGGGCTGTACCCGGCCGCTGGACTCTGAGAGGCTGGTTTATTTCTGAGACCTTGGAGTACCCCTTCAGGCACTCGTTACAACACCGCACGGAAGTTTCCTTTGGCTGACCAGGGGGCTGATCATCCCCCTTTGCCTTGCCTATGCCCAGTGGCCGCTGGAGCCTTTCCCAGCCTGGGATAAAGGCTCACTGTGCTCACGCTGCTGCAGCCTGGCACAGCCTGGTGCCCATCCCTGCCCAAGCCAGGTCCTTACGTAAGCAGAGTGGTGACACCTACCTGTGGCCCCTGGCACCCAGGGCCCAGGCCCATTTACTCAGCCCCTTTCCCTTTGGGTGGCCTGGCCTATGGGAGTGTGTGCCCTGGCACCTGGGGGTCACAGTCACAGAACCAAGGCAGGTGGCAGAGGTGGCTGACCCTGGGTCCCATTCCTTTCTCCACAGCATTGGCCACCAAGTCTGCTTCCTGCCCCTGGTCCCCCCTTGGAGTAGTTGAGCGAGATCTGCCAAGGACCCTGGTCGACTGCATGCCCCCTTTATCCAGAGGCCTCACTGGGCACCCCACCCAATCCCCATGGGCCCCTAGACCGCTGCCTGCCCCCGCCTGCCTGCCCTTGCGGCTGCTCCCTTGGCAGGTGACCGTCCATGCACCCTGGCCTTCTGCCAGTGCTGTTGTCTGCTGTGGGTATGCCCTTGGGGCTGTGCAGTGGGGTGAACTGTACCCCACTTGGCTTGAGGATCAGGGCGCAAGCAGGCCTCAGTTTCCCCCCTCTGGTGCTCAGAGTGGAGAGGCCTGAAGGGTTACTCACCTTCCTGCTGTGTCCCCTGCTGGGGTGTCCTGGGGCCTGTAGTCCTTCCTTTGGCCTCCACTTCCTGCTGCTGATGCAGTGCCTTTGTCTCCCACCTCTGGGAGACACCTGCTTGGAAGAGCACCAGGCTGAGTCCCGGGGGTGGACACATGTCCTGGGTCCCCTGTGCCACTGCCTCGTGTCTGGTGTTGGGGGACCTGGGGCCAGGCCCGTCATTTCTGAGCTCCCTAAGGGGTCACAGTCCTTAGCAGATGGGCAGGGAAATCTCTGCTCAGAAGTGGACCCCAGGTGGCTTCCTCCAGTCAAGGCTCGCTGTGGCCCTGGCTGGGCACAGTGACCCGGCCCCCCTGTCCCTGGCCCCTGTACAGAAGCCAGGGAGGCCTTTGGCAGCCAGGTGCAGCCCCTTTTGGGAGCTCCCAGCAGGCCTTTCTCACGGCGTGTGTGGACCCTCTGGGCTGGACCTCACCTCAGTGCTGGTGCCTGACCTGTGTGACCTCAGACCAGCCCTGGTGCCTCTCAGCCAGCAGGCCTGATGGGGAAGGGGTGGAGGCGGGGTTGGCAGGAGGTTTGCGTGGGGCCTGAGGTGGGGGGGGGGGCGTGCCAGGCTCTGGATTAGCAGGTGCGAGGGCCCAGAGCCCAGCTGCCCACGCTGCGGGGGCCCCACCTGGAACACTTTGCCCTGCGGGGCCCTTGGCGGGGGCGGGTTGAGATGGTGCGACCCTGCCCCTCCCGCCTGCTGGGAGCCTGAAGCCCCGCCCCGTGTCCAGAGCCCCGCCCCTCCCACCTGCTGGGAGGCCGAGGCCCCGCCCCGTGTCCTGGGCCCTTGGAGCCCTGACCTCCTGCTACCACGAGTTGCTCTTGGCTGGTCCCTGGAATCTGAGGCCTCTGGGTGCGAATTCCTCCCGGGCTAGTGGAACTGTCATCACAGAACCTCCGCCCGGCCCCTCCTGCTTGCCTGCCCTGTCCTTGTCCCCTGTCCATTGTGGTTGTGGCCCCTCACTGAGGCTTGGGGCCAGAAGCACCCTGCTCCCCTTCCCATCTTCTACAGGGGACCGCAGCCTCTGGAACAGCTGCTTATGCCCCTGGCCTCTCCCCCAGGCACCCAGCTTCCGCCTGTAAGTCTGGGGTGGGGAGCGCGGGAGGCCTTCACATCTCCCTGCCCCTTTATTCCCTCTCTTGTCTCCACTGTGGGGTCTCCAGCAGCCCCGCCTGCAGAGACCCTGCGGTGTAGGGTGCCAGAACAAACACAGGGATCCGTGAGGGACATGGGATCTGCCACCACCCCACCCCGGGCCTGGGATCGGTTCCATTTGGTGGGAGCTGGGGTCTGTCAGCTTGCCTTTCCCCCTGAGTCGCTTTCTTGGGTGTAACAGCCTTGGCACCCCTGTTCAGCCCGCCAGTCCATCATCCTGGCCCATCCAGCACCAGCTTGCCCCGTCTCCCCCACCCCTGCCTTACAGTCCCCTCTCGGGGCACAGAATGTGGGGAAGGGGTGGCGAGGCTGGGCGGGTGCAGCCCCCGATGACTTACCTTCCTTTGGTGCTCCCTCCCTGCATCCACTGGGCTCTGCACCCCTGCTGCCTGCTCCCCTGCTGCCCGCCAGTGGGCTGTCAGCCGACCTCTGCTCCGGGGGCTGGGCCGCTGCCCGGCGGGGCACAGGGCTAGGATGTCAGCCCTGCCCCCAGCAGCTGCACCCGGCGGGCGCGCGGGGCTAGTTGTATTTTAAGCTGTTGAGTGTTTCCGCAGGCATTCGGGGCCTCCTCCCTGCCGAAGTGCTGCTCCCCTCACCCCTGCAATGGCAGGCACTCTGGGGTTCATCTCCTGTCTGGCTCTGTCCTGTGGCTTACAGGGGTGCAGTCCCCTGCATCCCCAGGCTGCAGACCCTGGCAGCCTTGCTGCAGCACCTGCCTCCCCTCCTGGGGGGGCCCCATTCCACACTGGCCAGTTGCACCCCCAGGTCCAGCTGCCAGTTTGGATGGGGGTGACTCGGGGAGTGAGCCAGGGTGCCCTTGGCTCTCTGGAAGGAAAAGGGCAGCCCAGAGTGCATGCTCAGGGCTGGGGGGATTTGGGGGCCTGGACAAGGGGTGTGCAGATGCTTATCGTGGACGTACTTGGGGAGGGGTAGGTGGTGGGGCGAGGGTAACCGGCTCCTCTGAGGGACTCTGCACCCTAACTCTGGAATCCCTCGAATCCCTCCGGAATCTGTCACCTCTGCAGAGCAGGCGCGCATGCAGGACATTAATCCTGAGCGGCTCAGGAGGGAAGCGATGAACTGGCTCGCGGATTTTCAGAGTCGCTGGGATTTCTCCAGGGCGGAACTACGCACCCCAGCTCGCCTGCGAGGCCTGGTTTCTCTATGCCCAGGGCAGGGGCCAGGGGCTATGAAGGAGCGCCCATCTCTGTGCCGGGGGCCAGGGGGGCTGTGTGCCCTGGAAAGCCTCGCATCCGTCACCCCTCATGGGCTCCCAGGGGCTCAGCCCTGGGGCAGTTATATATTTAGCTGCCATGGCCACAAGCACTCGGGTTACAGCTGCCCAGAGGCTGGGTGGCGGCGGGCACCTTGCCAGCACGGCGGAGTCTGCTCACAGCCCAGTGCGCTGTGTGGGGAGGGCCAGCGGGGCCAGGGCCGTGGGCAGAGCGGGCAGCATGGACCTGAGCGTGGCGGCTTGGGACGCTGGCCCAGGCCCCCGCCTCAACAGCCTCCCCCGGCCCCGGCCCGCACCCCACAAGGGGGCCAAGAACCCTAAAAAGGCTGTTCTCTTCTTCGAGGTGGAGATCCTGGACGCCAAGACGCGGGAGAAGCTGTGTTTCCTGGACAAGGTAGGATGGGTCTGGGGACCTGGTGCCTTCGGGGGTTTTCTATGCCCCTCCTGCGGCCTCTGGGGGTGCAGGGGCCTGGGCTGACTGCGGGGCCTGCTGGGGTGGGGAGGCTACATTAGCCTCCAGGGCCTGAGTAGAAGGCGGAGTTGAGAACTCGGGAAAGGCTCCCTGTCAGCCTGACCCTGGGGACCTTGGGGGGGGTGGTGTCCTACTCACTGCAGTGGGGAGGGGCTGCCCCACACCCTTAGCTGAGCCTTCCCTGCTTGTGCCCCCAGGTGGAGCCTCATGCCACCATCTCTGAAATCAAGAATCTTTTCACCAAGAGCCGTAAGTTCCTGCCCAGCAGTCCCGGTGTCCCTCAGGCGGGGCATCTGTGATTTGGGCCTGCAGATGTCCAAGCTCCCTGGCTCTGGGGGTCTACGGCTGCAGCTGTTGCCCCCACGGGCAGGCCGAGGCCCCGGCAGGCGCCCCCGTGTGGCCACACGCAGGAACGCCCTTGCCAGGCAGCAGAAGGACAAGCCCCGCCGGCCTTCTGGGTTGGGGGGAGCCGCGCGTTCCCAGGCCTGACGCTGACAGCCCGTTCTCCCGCAGACCCGCAGTGGTATCCGGCCCGCCAGTCCCTCCGCCTGGAGCCCAGTGAGTATGGCCGGGGCACCCCGTGGGGCGGGGGAAGCGGGCAGCCCCCGCTGAGTGGACCCTCTCTGCAGAGGGCAAGTCCCTGAAGGATGAAGACGTCCTCCAGAAGCTGCCAGTGGGCACCACAGCCACGCTCTATTTCCGGGACCTGGGCGCTCAGATCAGCTGGGTGACAGTGAGTCTGCGCCCCCGCCCACACCCCGGCTGTAGCCCCCTTCTGCCGCCTTGAGGTGACCCGTCTTGCCCTGCACCCCCAGGTCTTCCTGACTGAGTACGCGGGGCCCCTTTTTATCTACCTGCTCTTCTACTTCCGGGTGCCCTTCATCTATGGCCACAGATACGACTTCACGTCCAGCCGGCACTCCGTGGTGCAGTGAGTGGGGCTGGCCGGGGCTCGGGCCGGGCCGGGCCGGGCTGGGGTCCCCTACCCGCCACTGAGGCCGCTTCCACCCCCTCCAGCCTTGCCTGCATCTGCCATTCCTTCCACTACGTGAAGCGCCTTTTGGAGACGCTCTTCGTGCACCGATTCTCCCACGGCACCATGCCGCTGCGCAACATCTTCAAGGTGAGCCCGCCCCGCTCCCTACACCCAATCAACACCCACTCCTCTACCCGAGTCCCGCCCTCTCCCTCTCCACCAATCAACACCCACTCCCCTGAGTCCCGCCCACTCGGTCCACCCAACCAACGGCAGTCTCGCTCCCTCCTACCCATTGCCGCCCCTCCCCTCCTTTCAGAACTGCACGTACTACTGGGGCTTCGCCGCCTGGATGGCCTATTACATCAACCACCCCCTCTACACGCCCCCCAGTAAGTGGCCTCGGCCCTGCCGTCCCCGCGCCCACTGCTCGCCCCTCCCCCCCGCTTACGCTCCTCTGCTTCCTCTGCAGCCTACGGCGCCCAGCAGGTCAAAGTGGCACTGGCCATCTTCGTGGTGAGCACAAGGGACCGGTGGGGCGGAGCGGGACGGGGCGGGGGGCTCTGCTGACCCTGCTACCCCTGCCGCCCCCACAGATCTGCCAACTGGGCAACTTCTCCATCCACATGGCACTGCGTGACCTGCGGCCGGCAGGTGAGTGCGCTGGGGCGGGGTGCAGGGCGCGGGGCTCCCGGCTCTGGGAACCCCCTTGGCCTGGCCATTCACTCTCCTGTCCCACCCAGGCTCCAAGGCCAGGAAGATCCCCTACCCCACCAAGAACCCCTTCACGTGGCTCTTCCTGCTCGTGTCCTGTCCCAACTACACCTACGAGGTGAGCACCCCTCACCGCCCTCCCTCTTAGAGCGTGGGTCTGCCATGCTGCCCCGTGACCCTCACGGCCTGTCCCCTGCAGGTGGGGTCCTGGATCGGCTTCGCCCTCATGACCCAGTGTCTCCCAGGTGAGTGTCTGGCCCCACCCTGGCCCCACCCCGGCCTGGCCCCGCCCTGCCCCACCCTGCCCCACTGACCGCCCCCCTCTCTCCACAGTGGCGCTCTTCTCTCTGGTGGGCTTCACGCAGATGACCATCTGGGCCAAAGGCAAACACCGCAGCTACCTGAAGGAGTTCCGGGACTACCCGCCCCTGCGCATGCCCATAGTCCCCTTCCTACTCTGAGCCCCCCCCAACACACCTGGTACCCCTCCCCAATAAAGCCCACCCTTAACCAGGACACCGACTCGGAATGTTTCTTGGGGGGGTCGCCGCACACAGAAGAGGCGAGGGTCGGCCAGGCCTGGAGGCGTTTATTTCTGACTGGTCCACACGGAGCCACTACAGGGCCATCTCGGGGGCCACCTCCCCGTGGCCCTTGCCGGAGGCCAGCTCGGCCTCCCGCCGTTCTCGCCGCTTCTTGCGCTGCAGCAGCCGCCGCTCCCGCTCAAACTCCTTCATACGCTTCACGTAGCTGCCGACACAGGGGCGGGGGTCAGGTGGCGCCGGCCTGGGGTTTCCGGGGCGCCCACTCCCACCCAACTTCGGTCACCCAGGTGGTCTCAAAGCCCCTGTACTCGTGGGGGGGGGGCGGGGGGTTGGGGTAGAAATCCCCGTTTAGGGGCTGGAGCGGTAGTCCAGCGGGTAGGGCATTGGCCTTGCACGCGGCTGACCCAGGTTCGATCGCCGGCATCCCATAAGGTTCCCAGAGCACCGCCCGGTGTAATTCCTGAGTGCAGAGCCAGGAGTAATCCCTGAGCATTGCTGGGTATGACCCAGAAAGCCAAAAAATAAAATAGAAATTCCCGTTTAAACTGGGGGACGGCTACCCTGGGGCCCGCGCATTCTCACTCGAGGTGCTCGCAGTAGTCCCAGTCGTGCTGCTCGTGCTTGCAGCCCAGGAAGTTGGGGAAACTGTCACGCTTGCACTTGAGCAGCCGGATGAGGTAGTGCGCGCAGTAGTCCCGCTGCTGCAGCACTAGCTGCGCATCGTTCATCTGCTGCTGCGTGGCCACCATCTCTGCAGGCGGGCGGGAGAGACATGCCAGGGCCCTGGGTCAGGGCCCCCCCCCCCCCCCGTCTGCAAGCAGGCACTGCGCCCCCAGCCCTCCCCACACACTGCAGCCACCCCCACCCCCAGCCTCAGGCAGCTTTCTGGAACCTTCCCCTCTGGCCTCTTGCCATCGAGTGAGAAGGTCTCGGGCTCTGGCTGAGAACTCCGGGCTGGAGCCTTCTCCCCGCAGGGAGCCTGGGACAGAGGCGCAAGGGACTGGCTCCGTGTCACTGGGATGGGCTGGCAACTGGGCAGGTGCTAAGGGCACCTGCTGTGCAGGAGAAAGGGAAGAGGCTCGTGTCTGGGGATTCAGAGCTTAGTGTGGGGGACCAACAGCTCCCATCCTGGGACGCCCCAACGCTTTCCTGATGGGGAGGTGGGCAGAAGTGAGGGGGATGGGGCTGGAGTGGTAGCACAGCGGGTAGGCCGTTTGCCTTGCACGCAGCCGACCCGGGTTCGATTCCCAGCATCCCATATGGTCCCCTGAGCACTGCCAGGAGTGCGCCTCACCGTGCAAAGCCAGGACTAACCCCTGAGCATCGCCAGGTGTAACCCCAAAAGAAAAAAAAAAAAGAAAATGAGGGGGAGCCCGGGTGAGGACCAAAGGCTGCGAGGTCGAGGGAAGCAGTGGGAGATGGCGAGGGGATTCTGGCACTCCAGGCCAGTGTCTACCGGAAGCCCAGATGCCAGCAATCCGGGCAGCCCATGAGCAGTGGGGAGGGCGGACACAGGTCGGGACATTTGAGGCACAGCAGAGAAAGGGGTTTGGGGCACCCGGGCAGCTGCAAGCCCAGGGCTCTTTCACCCCGATATGGTAAGACTGTGGGGGCAGCGGGAAGGGAGCCGGGGAAGAGCATCCAGGTCGCAAAGGATGAGGTCAGGGGGGCAGGAAGGAGGCAAGGCCCAACTGGGTCCAGGCGGCTATCTGGCTTTGCAGGGCAGAGGGGAGCAGGGCTCCGGATACCTGCAAAGCAGCGTGCGGGGCCCCAGAGACTGAAGAGAGAAGGGGGTGGTGGGGCAGAAGGAAGCAGCAGCAGAATGACTGGGGAGCACGAGGAGGCGGGCCGATGGAGCCCATGGAGCCTCTGCCTTGCAGCTGGTGGCCTCCTGACAAAGCAGACCTGCGCCTGCCCCTCTACTGCTCGGGTGCTCTCTCCCCAGCCACCACCTCCAGGGCGTCCACCTGGATGTTCCCAAGGGCTGCCCCGACCCGGCTGCACCGCTGTCCTTCCCACCACCACCTCCTGGGGGTGCGCGCTCCCCACGGGCGACGGGCATGACAGCCAGTGAGGCACGACACCCCGCCCCGGGTGAGGGGCATAAGCTGGACGCTCGTGCCCGCACGCCCCGGGAGAGAGCCAGGAACCCAGCAGCATTTCGCGGGCCCCTTCCCGCCCCGCGCTCCGGCCTCGTCAGGGACCCCGGAGTGCCTGGGCGCTCGCTAGCCGCGCCTGCGCATGGGGCCTCACCGCGCTCCTTGCGGTCCGGGAATCCGTAATCGGGGGGGAACGTGGGCATCCGCAGGGGATCGGGCTCCCCGGAACCATCGCCCACGTAGCGCCGGGCCAGATGAGCCCCCATGGTTGCAGTTGCCGCAGCTTCCCGCGGCCCACGGGGTCACCTCGCTCCCACCCGGAAGGACTCCTCGTCGCAGGCCGCGACTTCCGGGTTGCGACGGCGGTCGCGGGGATCACAGAGACGAGCGAATTACGGTTCCGCTGGCGCCGCCTGGCGGCTGGGAGAAGACAGCGCGGGGGCCCGCCGTGGGAATCGACGCGCGCTTTGCTGGGCGGTCACGTGGAAGCAGGTGGTGGGTCTGCACCCACCCTCGGGGCGGACCCTGGTCGGGCACAAAAGAAACGTAGTTTTCGTAGCTTTTCAGCTCTGTTTTTTTTTTTCGCTTTTTGGGTCACACCCAGCGATGCTCAGGGGTTATTCCTGGCTCTGCACTCAGGAATTACGCCTGGAGGTGCTTGGGGGACTATATGGGATGCCGGAGATGGAACCCAGGTCGGCCGCGTGCGAGGCAAGCGCCCCACCCGCTGTGCTATCGCTCCGGCCCCTCAATTTTTTTTTAAGCTCAATTATTTTCTTCTAAACAATCTCTTTTTTCTTTTTGGTCTTCAATACAGATTTACCTTAAACCCCCCAAAAAAATAATAGAAAGAAAGAAAGAAAGAAACCTACACAGACCCTATGATATAGACAGTGGCATGGCTCAGAGTTTTAATAGTTAAAATTAGGGGCTGGAGAGAGAGTTACAGGGGGGACAGCACTTGCTTTGCATGCATCTTACCTGGGAGCGATCCCCAGCACCCCATATGGTCCCCCAAGTCTGCCAGAAGTGATCCGTGAGTACAAAGCCAGGAGTAAACTCAGAGTACTGGTAGGTCTAGCCCCAAAATGAAAAAAATTAATATGCACTTGCTAGTGCCGTGTGTGGGGCTGCTGTCTGTGGACCCCGACCCCTGCAAGGTGAGTGGTGCAGCCTCCGTGTTGCCTTGCTCTCCTGCTCCCTTTTAAACTTATTTCAGGGAGCAGGAGAGGTTGTACAGTGGGTAGGCTACTTTCCTTGTACAAATCTGACCTGGATTTGATCCCCAGCATCCTGGATGTGGCCTCAAAAACCAAGAGGGGAAAGAAGGTATTTGTCCTTGTACATAACCATCCTGTACCTCACAAGCTTTCCTGAACGGCACCAGGGATGACTCCTGAGCCAGAGCCAGGAACAGCCCATGAGCACCTCCAGGTGCGGCCCTAAAGCACACAGACATATGTGCATATCTATTGGAAATAAATTTTATTTTTGGCCACACCAGGCAGTCCTCAGGGCTCACTCCTGGCTCTGCTTAGGAGTCACTCCTGGCGGGGCTGGGTGGATTCTGTGTGGTGCCAAGGTTGGAACTCGGTCCAGCAGCGTGCAAACAGCTTCTCTCCACTCTCCTAGGACCTTAAATATTTCCCCCTTAGATGGAAACTTTGTCTGCACCCCCACCCCACCAAACCATATATGCATTAATTTATTGCGGTACTGTCAGTGGTTTACAATAGGAAGTTTTATGCAGAAGGCTTCACACCTGGGTGAATGTCTACACCCACACCCCAAAAATAGTCTATGACCTATCCGGAATCCCTCACCCGATGTCTCAGGGGGGAGAGACTGTGAGAGCTGCAGCCCCCCCCCCCGCGCCCCCCCAGCCTCCCCACCCCCTGCGCTTCCCAGGGGCCTACTCAGACAGGACAGACACGCTTTCAGTTCCAGGGCACCTGGACAGCTTCCCTTTGAAGTTTCCTTCTGGCTGGTGGGCGGCTCGAAGTTCCAGCAGCTGCAGACTTTCCTCGGGGATGTCCTGTGGCCATGGGCGCAGGTGGTGCGGGGCATTTTTGTGCTAGGGCCGGGCGCTGCGCTGTTTCAGGGGACTGCACTGCTTCTTTCTCCCAGCGCACCCAGGGCCTTGTTCCTGCTCTGCCTCTCCACCCCCCACCCCCCTTCTTAGCTCTGAAGGCACCATCTTGTCTGTCTGCCTTTGGCTCTTGAGTCACCCCCAGCGATGCTCAGGGGTTACTCCTGGCTCTGCGCCCAGAAATCACTCTTGATGGTGCTCGGAGGACCCTATAGGGTGTTGGGGGTTGAAACTGGTATGGCCAAAGTACAAGGCAAACGCCCTCCCCACCGTGCGGCCAGCCTTAGGGCCCCTGTTCCAGACCATCTCTATCTTCAAACTGGGATGTAAAAAAATTTTTCCCCTTTTGGCGGGGATGGTGGAGGCACATTCAACAGTGCTGGGTTGGGTCCCTCCGAACAGTCTTCAGGGAACGCTGTGGAGCCAGGGATGGAGCCAGGAATAATCCCTGAAAACAGCTGGATATAGTCCAAAAACCAAAGAAATGAACTGTTAGTTGCAGGGAGCTATAGCTGGGGTTCTTGGGGGTGCCGTGAGCCATGATTGAAGGTGCACACACAGCACTTTTTAGGCTGGTAGGTCCTATGCCACCGAAGCCACCTTTGGGCCATTTAGAATGAATTTTGTGGTGCCCAGGGCGGAACCCAGGGCGTCAGATGTGCAGAAGCCTGCGGCTACCTCCCAGCAACGCCCCCAGACGCTTTTGCAGATTCCCCGGAGTCACTGTTGGAAATAAAGTCAGAAAGTGACAGTGATTGTAGTGACGCAGTCCCTCCGTCTGCTGCCTCTCCTGGGTGCAGGGAAAGTTCTCGAGGAAAGAATTCATCTACTTTTCACTCAGCGAAAGTGTCTGGTGAGCGTCTCCAGTTCAGGGGCTGTTTTCATGGTTATATTGGTGTACGAAGGCAGAATAGAAAGACTGCATGTGTGCGTGTGTGCATGTGTGCCTCTGTGTGTGTGTGTGTGTGTGTGTGTGTGTGTACAGGAGCATGCATGCGTGGGGGTGATCTCACGCATATTTGCAAGTGCCTGGCTTTTAGAGAAACGGGGAAGTGAGAGGACATAGACGTCTGGGTGAGAAGGTCCCTGTCTGGAGCCCTGAGGCCACGGGCATGCTGAACCCTAACTTTAGGCACTGGGACAGTCGAGGTAGGGGCTGGCTAGGCGCGGGCTGGGGTGGTGGGGTCTATCCCCTATCCCTCCTTGGGCAGGAGTCCGGGTCTGAGGGGCGCTGGGGTATGTGCTGGGCTTAACCTGACTGTCTGGGGAAGGGGCCCGAGAGAAGGAAGAGGACGATGACTACGAGAACTCGGCTCCACCCTACAAGGACCTTCCTCCCAAGCCAGGTACAGGGCTCCTCTGAGGCTGGGGCGGGGGAACAGCCGGGGGACAAAGGACCTCATTGGGGTCCCATGGAGTGTGTGTTGGACACACAGCCGAGCCTGCAGCCAGCCTGAGCGGGGTACCACAGTGGAGAAACTTCCACAGCTATGGCATACCTTCAAGAGTCTCCCGATCTGATGGGGGAGGCAGTGTGGATGTCTGATCGGGGAGGCAGTTCTATGTGTGACCTTGATGAAGGGCTCTGAGGGGGAATGGCCAAGATCACCATGGAGTGCTGTCTGAGAAGGGAGTGGAGAACTCCACCCACCATGATGGGGGGCATGGGGTCAGCAGTGGAGACTTTGAGTGGAACATAGGGATGAGGGGAAAAAATCTGTAAAGAAGCAAAACCTGGACCTTGGGATGGGAAACCTGATGTTTGAGAAGCTGCCAGGAACGTGTGGCCTCCCTAGCCCCCAGAATTCACATCTGCTTTTAGATAAACAGGGAACTGAGAACCTTCAGAGCCCAGAGCCCCCTGGGCACCAGCAAGAGTCTATGCAGATTTAAAAGTGCAGCTTTTATTCTCAGGCGAATTATAGTACGTTTTGATGTGGGTGTCTTTGAATCACACTGTTTAGGAAATGATGGCGGTGGTGTTTGGGGGCCATACCTGGCAGTGAGCAGGTTGGACTCCTGCCTGGCTCTGCACTCAGGGATCACTCCTGGCAGGGCTTAGGACCATATGGGGTGTCGGGGATGGAACCCGGATCAGCTTCATGCAAGGCCAGCGCCTTCCCCGCTGTCCTGTCGCTCCTGCCCTCTTGAGGGAATTTCTGAGCTTACTAAATCTAGGTATCACCTTTCTCCCCAGGTCAGGGAGGTTTTACAGTCTTTCTTTTCCTTCTTTCCTTCCTTTTATCCCTTGTTTTTTGGGCCACACCTGGAGATGCTCAGGAATCACTCCTAGCGGTGCTTGGGGGGATACAAGGTGCAGAGGATCAACCTGTGTCCCCCATGCGCAGGGCAAGTGCCCTACCTGCTGGAGTGTCCTTCCGGCTCCCTTCTTTCCTCCCTCTCTTCCTCTCTCCTCTTTCTTCCTTCCCTCCCTCCTTCACTCCTTCTTCCTTTCCTCCTCCTCCTCCTCCTCCTCCTCCTCCTCCTTCTTCTTCTTCTTCTTCTTCTTCTTCCTCTTCCTCTTCTTCCTCTTCTTCTTCTTCTTCTTCTTCTTCCTCTTCTTCCTCTTCCTCCTCTTCTCCTTCTTCTTCTTCTTCTTCTTCTTCTTCTTCTTCTTCTTCTTCTTCTTCTTCTTCTCCTTCTCCTTCTTCTTCTCCTTCTCCTTCTCCTTCTTCTTTTTATTTTTTTATTTGCTTTTGGGTCACACACAGCAATGCACAGCGGTTGCTCCTGGCTCTGCACTCAGGAATTACTCCTGGTGGTGCTTGGGGGATCATATGGGTTGCCAGGGATTGAATCTGGATTGGCTGTGTCAAGAAAACGCCCTACCCAGTGTACTATCGCTCTAGTCCTCCTTCCCTTCTTTTTCCTTTCTTTCTTCTATCCCTCTCTTTCCTTTTGGGCCACACCTGGTGGTGCTCAGGGCTTGCTCCTGGCTCTGTGCTCTGGGATCCCTGCTGGCAGTGCTCAGGGAACCGTATGTGGTGCCAACGGTGCAAGAAAAACGTCCTACCTGCTGTATCACCACTCCAGCCCCTTCGCTGCTATTTGAAGACCAGCTGGAGAGGAAGGGGTGCATGTGTGTGCATGTATGCGTGTCTGCACATGCATGTCTGTGTGTGCGTGCATATGGGGGGGTGGTCTCAAGACATATTTGCAAGTGCCTGACTTTTAGAGAAATGGAAAGTGAGGACATAAACATCTGGGGTCCAGAGACCTGAGGCCGCTGATATGCTGGACCCGAACTCTAGGCACTGAGACAGTCGAGAAAAGGGCTGGCTAGGTGAGGGCCCCCCATCCCTCCCTGGGCAGAAGCCGGGTCTGAGGGATGCTGGGGCATGAGCTGGGCTTAACCTGACTGTCTGGGGAAGGGACCCAAGAGGTGGAAGAGGACGATGACTACGAGAACTCGGCTCCAACCTACAGGGACCTTCCTCCCAAGCCAGGTATGGGACTCCTCCGAAGATGGGGCGGGGGGACAGAAGAGGGGCACCTCTCCTGGTGATGCTCAGGGAACCATATGGGATGCTGGGGATCAAACCCAGATTGGCCGCATGCAAGACAAACACCCTCCCCACTGTGCTATCGCTCCAGCCCCCAACAAAACCTTCTAGTTTCAAACTTTTTTAAAATTGATTTTGGGGCCACACTTGACAGTGCTCAGGGGTTCCTCCTGGCTCTGCACTCAGGGATCATTTCTGGCAGGACTTGGAGGACCTGATGGGATGCGGGGGATCAAACCCGGGTTGGCTGCGTGCAAGGCCAGCATCCTCCCTGCCGTGCTATGGCTCCAGCCACAAACTTATTTTTGAACGACTGGAGTTTTGCAGAGGGACTCGGGGACCCTCCTGGCGGCTGCCTGCTCGGTGCCCTGCCCGTGAAGGTCTGCTGCCCGGCCCCTGCACTTGCCCTAGGTCAGTAACTAGGACCAGGTTCAGAGACCTGGGAGAGACTTCCCTGGCCTGGCGCTCACCATCAACCCTCCTCCTCAGGAACCAAGATCGCGATGCCCCCTGAGCCCTGGAGGCCTGCTAAGAGCGTAGGTGAGTCGCTGACCTTCTGCCACCCGCAGGGTCCTACGGGCTTGGGGCATCCTGGGGCTCTGGGATCACTCCTGGCGGAGCTCGGGGGGTCGAACCCTTCCCCGCTCCCCCATTGTTCGATCTCTTGGGGCCTTCTGATCCCTTTTGATCCCTTTTGATCCCTTCTAGACCTGAAGCTCGGCCCGGTCACCTGGTCATCTCCTCGGCCTGGTGAGCAGCGGGAGGATCCTTGCATGGTGGTGGTCCCAATGACACCCCCCAGCCCTGACGGCATGTCTCTCTGCCCAGGTGCACATCTGGACCAGCCTCCGGCACTGCCACCGCACCCTCGTAAGTCCCAGCTCCAGGGCTCTGAGACAGGGCAGGACCCTGGGCCCAGACACCTTCTGGTACAGTCACTCCCCACAAGCCTGTGGCACCCGCCCAGCCCTCAACCTTGGACATGGGGAACGTTTTTAGAGGTTGAGTCACTCCTGGGAACAGGAGAAACGTGGGCAGGGCTGGCGGAGAACGTGCAGGCAGAGCTGGGTCAAGTCATGCAGACCTCCCCAAGTCCTCAACTTACAAACCAACAAAATGGGACTGTTCTTCACAACTCTGTGCCACGGGGCACTCCAGAAAGAGCCTGAGGCAGAGGACAAGCTGGGCTGGACTCCAGGCCACACTTAGAAGCCCTCGATTTCCTCTTTTTTTTTTTCCCTTTCTGCTTTTTGGGTCACATCTGATGATGTTCAGGGGTTCCTCCTGGCTCTGCGCTCAGGGATCACTCCTGGTGGGCTTGGGGGACCCTATGGGATGTCAGGGATTGAACCTGGGTCGGCTTCATGCAAGGCAAACGCCCTCCCTGCTGTGCTCTGGCGCTGGCCCCGTCTGACGCTCTCTCAGGTTGACTGTCTGGTGACGGGCCATGACCTTCCCACGGCTCTGGGTCGTCACCCTGTGCACTCTCCCCACCCCCAGCTCCCCCAGCACCCTGGATGGGCCCCAGGAGCAAGACCGCGGGCTGCCTGCGGCTCCGGAGGCTGGTGATGCTCCTGTCCCTGCTGCTGTCGCTCTCCGTAGCACTGGGGGTCGCTGCGCTGCTGGTGGCCGTGATACAGTGTAAGTAGGGCCGGGAGGGGCCCCAGACCTCGAACCCACCCCCCGTGGGACTCAGGCCGGATCCTGCCTCTTAGACCAGGAGCTCGGGAAGGAGCTGAGGGACCTGGCCCTGCAGCAGGCGGCCTGGCAGGCAAACGGTGAGTGTCCCCACCCCTCAGAGGGCTGCCCCGGCTGTCACAGCCTCAGAGAAGCGGGTATTCAGGGCGGCGCACACCACAGATGGGGGGGACACGCATGGGGTGTCGGGGGCTCCCCCCTGATCAGGCCCCTCTTGGAGGCAGTGACAGGCCCAGGCGGACTGTCCAGCCTGAGGAAGGACATTGACCGGATCCGAGCCAGCACCAACCAGTCCCTGATGGAGCTTCGCACCTTACTGGGTCAGTGGAACGCAAGATGGGCCGGGGGTCCGCGGGAGAGCCAGCGCAAGGCACTGCCCGGGGGTGACTCTGAGCATCATCAATTTGGTTTCTGCTGGGTTCAGGGCCACCCCTGGCAGTGCTCAAGGGTCACGCATGACTATGCTTGGGTCTGTATAGTCACAGGGATGGAACCTGGGTCTCGGTCACAGCAGTCCCCTGTCCCGTTCTCAGAAAGGGTGAAGTGCCCCAAGGACTGGCTTCCCTTCCAAGGAGAGTGCTACTATTTCTCCCCGAACACCATGTCCTGGGACGCAGCCCAGGGGTTCTGCCAGAAGCACTTCTCACACTTGGTCATCATCAGCAGCCTCGCCGAGCGGGTAAGCTGAGCGCCTGGGCCCCGGGCTCCTCCCTGGCCTGCATGCCAGAGAATGTGAATAGCTTTCTTCTTTGGAGAGGGGGTGTGGCCATCCCACCCAAAGTGCTCAGGGAGTGACCCTGGAGCACTGCCAGCTGCGGCCCCCAACCCAGGAAACAGAAAAAATCCAACGGATGATGCTGGGACTGAAGCGATAGCACAGTGGGTTGGGCGTTTGACTTGCTGGGTTCGATTCCCAGCATCCCATATGGCCCCCCGAGCACTGCCAGGAGTAATTTCTGAGTGCAGAGCCAGGAGTAAGTAACCCCTGAGCATCGCCGGGTGTGACCCAAAAAGAAAAAAAAAAGTCAAATGGATGATACTTAGAGTCATTCCCCATGTCGTATGCTGGCTCTCCTGCAGACCCCCAGCCCGTCTCATGTCTCATGAAGGGGCTCAGGGCGTACTCCCAGCTCTGCACACATGAATCTCTCCTGGGCTGCCAGGGATCAAACCCGTGTCGGCAGTGTGCAAGTCAAGCGCCCTCCACAACTGCCCTATCTCTCGGGCCCCATCTCTTTGGGCCACACCTGAACCCAGCACTCCAGCTGCGGGTCAGGCTCCACCTGCAGCTGGCAGGAGCAGCAGGAGAGAATCCCCCCTGCAGGCGGTGACTGGGTCCCCCAGCACTGCCGGGAATGATCCCTGAGCACGGAGCCAGGAGAACGCCCTGAGCACCCAAATACACAAACAAAAGCCCACCAGCCTTTGTCTGGTGGGTTCCAATTACCCGCAGCTGCTTCGTGTCCTGGAAATGCAAGTCAAACTGTAAGCAGCTCCCCATTCCTGCACCGAGATCCCCATTTTTGTTGTTTTGAGCCACACCGGCTCTGCACCCAGGAATCACTCCTGACGGGCCCTATGTGGGGGCAGGAATCGAATCCAGGTTGGGCCCTCCCTGCTGTCCTGTTGCTCCGGCCCCGTGATCCCCCTTTTCGGTGGAGCCTGAAATGATACCGCCACCATCCCCCTGGCCAGGAGGGACCCTTGAGCACTGCCTGATGTGGCCCCCACATGGGTGTGAGGTGTCCAGGTGGCCGCTGGGGAGGGGGCAGCTGGTCTCACCCCATTTGTAGATGCGGGAACTGAGGCAAGGGGTGGGGGAGGGGTGCAGGAAGGTGCACAGTGCTTCCCGTTGCAGGGGACAGACTGTGAGGTTCCTGGGGATAGGGTGGCACCATCGACCCTCAGGAAGGGGGAGAGAGACCCTGAAACTATGCTCGTTCTTACAGAATTTCATCACCCAGATCACCCGCATCAAGAACACCCAGGGGCACGTGTACTGGCTGGGCCTGACGGACAGGATGCAGGAGGGGATCTGGCGGTGGCTGGACGGCTCCCTGCTGACAGAAACACTGAGGCAAGTACCTGGCCCAGCCTGCTCCCCTGACAGCCCCAGCGGGTGGCCCTGTGCTGGGGGTATCAGTGCCTGGGGGGGGGGTTTGAGGATGGGTCCTCTGAGCCCACAGGAGTCATCCCTGAGCACTGCTGGGTGTGGCCTGATTCACAGTCCCAAGAGATAGAGATGAGGACTTCAAGACATGCCCCCTCCCTCCCCCTCCTCCTTCTCTCTCTCCCTCTCCCCCTCTCCGCCCTCCCCTCCCCCTCCTTCTCTCCCCTCTCTGCTCCCCCTCTTCCCTTCTCCCTCCCTCCTCTGCTCCTCTTTTCTTCCTTCTCCTCTGTCTTCCATCTCCTCATACCTCCCACACACCTGAACCACCAGGTCAGGTTGTGCTTTGGGAGAAGGTTCTCGAAGGCACTGGAAGCATCCAGGGTGGGCTCCCACATTTTGTTTCCTCATGAACCCATGAGACAGCTTCACTAAATCCAGAATTAACCTTAGGGCGCCCCCCGCCCGGGGCTTCCTCAGACTCTGGGTGGGTGCCCGTGCGAGAAGCTGTATCCGGGGCTCTAGCAGCGTCATTTCCTACCCGGACCCCGGGGAAGAGGCCTCCTGCCCCGCCTAGACTCCAGCCCCTCCTGACCCTGCTTCCCTCCAGTGCCCCCTGGATCCCCGGGCCCCTCCCGGCCCCCCCACTCACACCCCCAACCTCCAAGCAGCTTTTGGGACTCCCACGAGCCCAACGACAGCAATAGCAAGGAGGACTGTGGGAGCATGGATCGCTTCGGGCGGTGGAACGACCTGCCGTGCGAAACCACCATCTACTGGATCTGTGAGCGCCTGTGCCCCTGCAGCTGACAGCGGCCCCATCCCCAGGAATGGCCCCAAGGCCCAGGGCAGGGACTCTGTTTACCCAGGCAGGCAGAGGAAGGGGAAGTGGGGGCCGCGGGCAGTCTCTGAGGGCCCTCCCAGCCCACGCCCCTGTCTGCTGGTGCATCCCGGGGCGTCTGCGGGGAGGGGCCCGCCAGGAGTCAGCCCTGAGCACCACCGGACGTGCCTCCCAAATCTTCAGACAAATAAAGCATCTCTACTCGGATCCTGACCTTGGACTTCACTGCCGGGACAGGACGGAGCCGCCGGGACGGGGCCACCAGGACAGGACAGGCCAGCAATGCTCCTGCTCGCCAGAAAGGCCAGAGCACAGCGGGGGCGGGGCAGCAGGAGAGCCTGTGCAATTCGAGAGACTTGGTAGGGGGTGTCTGACACTGAGGAAACTGTCCGGGAGGGGAGGGGCGGCAGGGGCTGGGAAAGCCTGAGCCAAATCTTGGGCAGGTCTGGGGCATGAGAACAGCAGCCAAGGGAAAGTACTTTCTAGAACCTCAGTGTAGGCGGGACCCAACCAAGCAAGCGTGATTCCTTCCTCTGGTGGCCACAAACTCTGATTCTTGTTTCTTCTGTTTGGGGGCCATACCCAGCACTGCTTGGGGCTCACTCCTGGCGGTGCTGAGGGACCCCATACGGGATGCCAGGGATCGAACCCGGGTCTGCAGCATGCGACGCCAGTGCCCTTCCCGCTGTCCTGTTGTCCCGGCCTCGGCATCACAGTGTCAGAACAAACAGCCCAGACCAGGAGCCCAGAGCAGATGCCACTTGCTCTCATCTTTGCTCAGAATTCCCAGGCAGTGTGCAGGGGACCTCAAACCCCTCTGAGTAGTTAACTGAGCCGGGGGTCAGCACAGCAGGCCGAGGGCACGGCGGCACTGCCAAACGGGACATGTCTAGGCACTGCCTAGACAGACCCCAGACACCTCCCCATGTCTGGGATCTGTCTAGGACCAAGGTTTCCCAGGCAGGTCCGGGGCACCAAGCCACTGTGGGCGGACAGAAAAGCACCAACGAGGATGGAATGGGCAGGGAGGCTCTGGGAAGAGGCTGATCTGAGGTGCCTGCTGGATTTATTTATTTATGTTTGCTTTTTACGTCACACCCGGTGATGCTCAGGGGTTATTTCTGGCTCTGCACTCAGGAATCACTCCTGGCAGTGCTTGGGGGACCCTATGGGATGCCGGGGATTGAACCTAGGTCGGCCGTGTGCAAGGCCCTCCCCGCCTGTTGGATTTAAAGAACAAGTTTTTGGGAGGGGCGAATAAGCACGCCGAGCAGGGGTGTTTGCCACAGTCGCCAGGTGGGTATGTTGGGGGGGCACGACTGGGCCCGGGAAGGGAACACACCTCAACATACATTACCGGACCAGAGTCATAGAATAGCGGGGAGGGTGTCTGCCTTGCACGTGGCCAACTCAGGTTCAACCGCCAGCATCTCATAGCACTACCAGGAGTATTCCTGAGTGCAGGGCCAGGAATGAGCCCTGAGCACTGCCATGTGTGACCCAAACACAAAAACGAACACACATTTACTTCATGGGGCACACAGAGGGTTGGAGCTGGGCTCCACACACTGACGCCGGGGAGAGCGACAGACTATGCCAGGGAAAAGGTCTCTGTTGTGGAAATGTTCTTGGAGGCTGCTGAGGCCCCCGGAGTGGGACACGCTCTGGCCATGGGGCTGGCGAGTGCAGTGGGCAGTGCCATCTCTGGCTAGATCTCTGGGTGTGGATCTGCCTCCACATGGGGCTGATCGTTCCTTTCTGAAGACTTTCTCTTCACTTGTCCTGGGGAAATGACCAAACCGCCCCCCATGATGCCTGGACAGATGGTGAATGTCCAGAGAAAAGGACACGAAGGACGGCGCAGAAGGGCAGGGAGGGTGCAGGCGGAAACGGGCTGTGGCCAGCCAGGAGGAGATGCCCTGCAGGGAGTCCAGTCTCCAAAATCTAGGGGAATTTTTAAGTTCATTTAAAAATGTTTGGCTTCGGGGCTGGAGCAATAGCACAGCGGGTGGGGCGTTTGCCTTGCATGCGGCCCACCTGGGTTTGATTCCCAGCATCCCATATGGTCCCCAGAGCACCGCCAGGAGTAATTCCTGAGTGCAGAGTTAGGGGTAACTCCTGAGCATCGCCGGGTGAGACCCAAAACAACAACAACAACAAAAAATGTTTGGCTTGGAGTCACACCCTGCAATGTTCAGGATTTCCTCTGGGCCCTGCACTCAGGGGTTGCTCCTGGCAGGGCTTAGGGGATCCTGTGGGGTGTCAGGGATTGAACTGGGGTCAGCCTAGTGCAAGCAAACACCCTGCCCGTAGGACTAACGATGATCGGGCCCTCATTTTGAGATTTTGATTGTTGGGTTGGTTTTGGATGTTGGGGGGTCACACACGCTAGGGAGGGCACTCCTGGATCTGTCTAGAGGAGATTCTAATTAGAGGTAGATCCCACCACGTTGGCGGGGGTCCCAGTCTCACTGTGAGCCCAAGCAGTGCCCGCACGTGGGGGAGGCTGGCCCCCGAGGGACAGGTGTGTCCTAGGAGAGACATGGGGTGGGGTGTGGGCAGTGGCGCTCAGGCCCCCCAACACGCGCGTCTCCTCCAAAGGCTCTTCCCTAAGACCTGTCCCCTCCGCTCCCTGCTAGAGTTGAGAGGTTCAGGAATCTGATGCCAGTCAGTGTGAGTGAGTATGTACATATGTGTGTGCGGGTGCACGTGAGTGCACGTGTGCATGTGTGAGCATGTGTGTGTGCATGCGTGTGTGTGTGCATGCATGTGTGTGCGTGTGAGTGCTTGTGTCTGTTCATGCATGCGTATGCCTCACCCAAGACCACATCCTCATACTTCCAGATGCTTCTGTGCCTCACTCTGGGGGACGGCTGGGATGGATCCCCATCCTGACATATTTTCCCATGCCCTTGTCCTCTGTCACCCTGAGCTCCCTGGGAACCTGGGCACCGAGTAGCCCTTTGTGCCCCCCACGCGTGCCCACTAGGCTGGGCAGTTTCCCACAGCATCCTTGACTGTTGGGGGCCAGTGCCCGGGGCAGCTGCTGCCTCAGATTCCCGAACGCCGTGTGCGAAGGCCATGAGGACGGCAGAGCTGGACAGGTGCTGGAACTGCGCACAACTTGGCTGGTGTTCGCCCCCAACAGGGCGCCGCCGTCTGTGGCCCAGGGCCGCTGTCCTGGGAGCTGTCCCAGTAGACACAGATGTCACGCGTGGCTGCCTGCCGCAAACAGAGCAGGAAGGAGGGCAACCGCAAGCGCAGGCAAAGGCGAGGAGAAGCCCGGGGTCATGGGTTTTCAAGCGAAAGACTGCCTGTCTGTCTGTCTGACTGTCTGGGAGCCAACACTGCATAGACGTCACTGGGCCAGGGTGCTGTCCCGCCCCTTGAGAGTGTGACAGGAGAGTGTCTGACCGCGCAGCTTCTCCTTGGCCACTCCTAGCTTCCTCACACTGATTCTGTCCCTGCTACCTCTCAGCCTGTCCACTTCGCAGCCGTGACAGGAAGTGGCGACGCATCCCAGCCCCTGGAGAGCGTAACTAGAGCTGTCAGCCTCAGGTCTCATAGCTGGAAGGTTTTTTCTCTTTAGATTTTAGGTTTTGGTCACACCACACGATGCTCAGGGGTCAGTTCTGGCTCTGCACTCTCTGCACTCAGGAATCCCTCCTGGTGGTACTCGGGGAACCCTATGGGATGCCGGGACCGAACCCGGGTCAGCTGTGTGCAAGGCCAGTGTCCAACCCATTGTGCAATCTCTCCATCCCCAAGAAAAATAATTATTAAAGAGATATTTTTGGACCGATCCCCGAGCCCACCAGGAGCGATCCCTGAGTGCAGAGCCAGAAATAAACCCTGAGCATCGCCAGATGTGACCCCCCAAACAAAACAAAACAAAAAGAGATATTTCACATTCCTCCCCCCACCCTTTACTAAGTCTCCAGAACCTGGAAATCCTAGGTCCGAAGCAGAAATGCTAAATCTTTGCCATCTCAATTCAGACATACCGGAAGGTCAGCGTGACGGGCCAGGAGAGTGCCAGCCTCCTCCAGGGCCCACAGTGGTGCTCACGGCCAGGAGCTCAGGTAAACCTGGCCTGGCCCACATGGATCTTCAAAGAAAACGGCATTGATGAAGTCCCCAAGAGACTAGGCTATAAAGGCGACAGCGGTGTGACCTGGGCAGGTAGAACTTAATCCTACGAACGTGCAGAAAACCACAGGGAAAGATGCCAGTGCCCCAACCTGCAGTTGGGGCTCAGATTGGTAATGACGGTTATTAAGTATTGTAGGTTTGGGGGGCTGGAGTGATAGCACAGCGGGTAGGGCTTTTGCCTTGCACGCGGCCGACCCGGGTTCAATTCCCAGCATCCCATATGGTCCCCTGAGCACCACCAGGAGTAATTCCTGAGTGCAGAGTCAGGAGTAACCCCTGAGCATCGCGAGGTGTGACCCAAAAAGAAAAAAAAAATGTAGGTTTCTTTTTTTTTGGCAGTGCTAAGGATTGACTCCTCGTGTCTCAGGTGAGAGTCCTACCCTGGCTCCCTGCCCAGTCTGCTGAGTCTGCTGATTCGGTTCAGACGATTCTTCATCGTGGGGCCTGGCTGAGGTCCTGTGGGAGGTCCTTTGATGTACTAAACACCCGCACTGAAAATCAAGAAGCCTCCTGAGAGAGAAGCATCAGGCCCCAGTTATATGCAGGGTCTTTTTTGTTTTTGTTTCTGTTTTTACTTTTTGAGCCCGGCAAGCTACCGAGAGTATCTCATCTGCACGGCAAAGCCTGGCAAGCTACCTGTGACAAATTCAATATGCCAAACACAGTAACAAGAAGTCTCAAAAAAATGGAGATGTTACTGGGCCTGCTCGAGCAAATCGATGAACAAGGGGAGGACAGACAGATTAAGGACAGACAAACTTTTTGGGTCACACACCCAGCGATGCTCAGGGATTACTCCTAACTCTGAGCTCAGGAA